GGAGCCCCAGCCAGGGCAGCCCAGGCCGCCCTTCCCCTCCGGCGTGCTGGGCGCTGTGACCCTCGTGGGCGTCCCACAGCCGTGTTAAAAACGATTCTGAGTGATCATAAGCTCGTGACTGAAACTGTAGCATCCATCCCCAAAATGCTGCTGACCGAATGAGTGGTTTCCAAGTGAGTCTTTGATATAGTCCTTCTAAAACTAGCATCAGGTAACCTCACCTGGGTGCAGCTTCTCTAGGAGCAAGGTTTGTTGAACAGGCTGGTTCCCCTGAAACCTGCGGGCTTCCCTAACGTGATTGCACCGCGTTACTGACACTGGTGAAACTGCTCGGCTTTAGCTCAGAGTTCACCTCCCTTGGTAGAGCTGTAGCCACGGGCTAAACGCTCTCAAGTTCTCCAAATAGCATCTTGCTTGGCTGTTTTCCCTGGCCTCTCCCTTCCCGTTAGCTCTGCTTCCCTTCCTCCCTGGACAGGCCTCACAGCCGCCCTCTCCCGGTGTGTTCCCTATCCCAAAGGAGCAAATGCGCTCGCAGTGTTTATCCAGGTAGGCAGGAGCGTGCACAGGATCTGACTTCGCTCTATGTTAATTGAGTTTATTCTGCATTTTGTAAGCACCCTCTGCTGAGGCCTAGGAGGAAAGTGAATCTGGTGACTTAAGCTTTTCCTCATTTCATTCCCTGGGGAAGAAAGCAGCAAGCGAGCAGGGGGTTCAACAGATTTTTATTTGCTTCTCTTGGGAAGCTCTGTAGAGCTGGCTTGTAGTGCAAACTGCATTTAAAAACAACACAAAACTGGCGGCTTGGGCTACCAAAACTGTTGCTTGTGAGACTGTTATAGCAACCAAGCATCCAAGCTGGAGATGGAGATGTTGAAGTAATCTGAAGTGTACCACAACGTCTGCATAGAGGGTTTGCAGTGCAGCATGGAAGGGCTGGGAGGGTGAAAGCTACGGTCTGAAAGGGCTCTTCGTGTCACTCTCCACTGATGCGTGTGGTCCTCTCCAGGGAATCGTAAAACAAGGAATTCTCAGTCACTTTCTTTAGCTCCCAGCCTCCTTGCTGTCATTTTTGGTGTTGACTATAAAAGAAGTGGCCAGGCAAGAAACTGGATGTTTCTTTTGCAATGCGCTTCATCAACTCAAGCAACTTGGTTCTCGGTTAAAAGTAGGAATTGCACCTTTAAGATACATTTGGAAAATAGCTCTTGGTAATGTCTAGTGTTGGATATTTCAGCTTAATGTCATTCTACAAGCAGCTGAGTCAAGTTTATACTTCTTGGTCTTGCCTGTCTTGCCACTTGGAAGTGTAAGAAATGGAAGAGGGCTGCAGTGTCTCTTCTGGCTACAGCAGAATTTCAATTTGATGTCAACTATGAAGCATCACTATTAGTATTTGCTCATTAGTGTCTGTTCCTGAGAGATTAGATTGGTCCCGGTATTTCAATAAGTCTTCGCTATTGTGAGTAGCTAAACTTTTTTTTTTTTTAATTGATAGCAACCGTTGGCCTTCTCTTTCTTTTATTTTTTTTTACGAAAGCACTGATTTAAATAACTCTAGACTATGTGACAGACAACACAACTTAGTAATAGCGTGATTGTTCTGCAGCTTTGGAAGCCCAAAACACACAAACAGCGTGAATAGAAATAAACAGCTATGCTTGGTTTTAATGAGGAATACAAAAGTATTAAATACAAAGACTTGTTTTCAGGAGGGGAGTGTCTCGAAACCTCTCTTTTTCTCACTTGAAACCCTTAGCTCCAGTAAGCTCTAGCAGGTCTAAACAGGGATGTTCTAAAAAGCCACGTTGCTCTAAATGCAAAGCGTTAGATGTGGTCATGCAAGCCAGAGCCGAGCAAAATGTTGAGAGAAATCTTTCTTTGTGGGGAGCTAGAGGAAATCTTTGTCCTGGTCTCTTATCCTGATCTCTTTATCTTCAGCTGCTCAGATAAAGAATTTGATGAGCCAGCTGGGAACCAAGCAGGATTCCAGCGAGCTGCAGGAAAACCTGTAAGTATTAGCTGAGCTAACACGTGTGTAGGGTCTCTTTTATCTGCCAGGCTATTCTAAGAGAAAATGGTTTACTTGTTCTGGGGGGATGCTTTACTGGAAAAGTTTAATATAATCCTATAAAGTAAAATGAGTAGATTTGTGAAGTAGTTTCCTAGAGGTGCTAAGGTTTTTTTTTGCAGAACTCTGGAAAAAACATTAAAATCTGCGTGACAGGAACAATTTGAAACAGTATAGATTACAAAAAAAAAAAAGGCAGGGGTACATCATGCCTATGTTATCCATGTATCTTGTATGTACTGGAGCAGCATAAATAGAAAAGTATGAAAAGAATATCTGCTGGGAAATTAGAAGGAAACTTGTGAGTCTGTCATGCATTGTCATAGTGTTTTTTATAATAGCTCATTTTGAATGAGCTCAGAACTTATATTTGGAGGATATGATTGGAACACAAGCAGGAGATAAAGGAATTGGCTTGTTGGAGCTGTTCGGTTGATTTGACCTGCATTTAATTGGTAAATTAAAGAAAAGGTTGGTGACAGCCAAATGAATGCCTTTCCAGTTAATTTATTTGTAGAGACATGGCTCCCTCCTTTAAGGGAAAAGTGACGGCGCTCAATAAATTGCCATAGAAACTAATAAATAAAAAACATAGTTGGTGTATGCAGCTCACATATTACAGGTGAACTCCTGTGGTATGGTATCCTGAATACTTAGATTTGCATACCTACTAGACTGAATGAATGACTTTAAAGTACCTTGCACCCATTAAACACCAAAAATCTTGGTTCTTGCATAAGTATTTTGTCCCAGGAAGACTCCGTTTTCCTCATTTACGCTTAGTTTTTCTGTTTTGTTAAATCTAAATCTGACCAACGTAGTCAGAAGTTGTCAAGTGAGCATGTTCACTGGATAAATTTGTCTTTGCCTTTCTTTAATTTCTGTCTCACACCATAGAAAAGAAATCTTTTAACTACCAAATACCTATTGATGGAGAGTACAGAAATGTTTCAGATATCCTTTTAAGATTGAACAGTGTCAAACTGATGGTAAAAGCTAAAAAAAACTGGCATAAAACTGTATTGTGTGCTATTTTGTTCTTTTTTCTGGACATTGGAGGAAAAAAGTCCTGAAAGGTGTGTGTGATCTTGGTATCCCCAGTTGGTCATTGTTGTGAAAACTGAATTCCTTGGAGACTGCTCTGGGAGAGAACCTTGTGTAACCCTTTCTGCACATTTATTTTAGACAACAGCTACAACATTCAGCCAACCAGCTTGCTAAAGGGACCAATGAATACCTAAAGGAACTGGGATCTCTGCCACTTCCTCTGTCAGCTTCTGAACAGGTACGTATGCAGAACTCAGCTGGAAGTTGTGTTATTTTGGAGCTCAACCTCATAAAGGTTGAGTTAGCACAGCGGGAGGGATAGCATCCTTTCATGATGGAGAAAAAGCTATTGGAGAAGTGGGAAGACTCATTAAACCAATAACCTGACTGCTTCTGTTTCCACTTTGGGAAAACAGCTTAACCTTTGCCACCTGCAAAATGGGTATAAAATTTACTTGCATAAGAATTGGAAGCCCTAAATGTTTGAGAAGAGCTTAGTATGCAATTCTCTATTTCCGAGTCTGTTTCTGAAAAATAATCTTGTTTATAAAGCGTCTGATCATGTAAGGCAGTGTTTCAGGATAAGAACACGGAGCAAGCTCAATGTTACTGTGAAGTGTGGTCATGCCAAGCAGCTTCTATTTGCCTCGGATTTATTAGCTGGAGAAAGAAAAAAAAGCTGATTTACCTTGTTCATGTCGGAATTAATATAGTTAGGCAATGATTATGGCTTTACCTCTTGCTGAATAGTCTTCCAGATCATCTTCCAGGTGATTTTATTTTATTTTATTTTATTTTATTTTCACATCTTGCCTGGGATACCATCCTATTACCTGGAATGTCAGAATACTAAAAGGAGACATTCTAGGAAAGCTAAATAGGTTGAAACTGTAAAAATGAGCATAACCAGAGTTATTACAGCTGATACATTTGGAGAACAGGTAAACTAAAATGGAGGTCAAGACGAAGAGAGGATATTCTCCAAATAGCTAATGGGAGACTTGTTGTATGATGTGGCTGGGAGCAATGGGGTTTAGTTCTGGAATCTGGGAACTCTTTAATCTTAAGCGTGCTAGGGTGCTATGCTCTAGGTTTCCTACTTTCATAAGAAAGTTAAGGAGATTGGGTGTGACAGGACAGAGGAAGGAGTGGGAAGAACAGCTTAAGGACTAATAGGTTGGCTAATGGGGGAATGGAGAGGAAGACATCATAATTATCCAAAAGATACATAAGTAAATGTAATAGATACTTTTATTCAGGTCTCCTTCCAGTATTAGTGCAGAAGGCTCCTCTACTCCAGATTTAAAACCAGACCGCACCTAGGGAGCTTTATTGCTCAGAGCTGTTCTGCGGTGCATAAGGCAGCGTTTGGTAGAACTAATGGAAATTTGATGTTTTTTTTTTCTCCTTCCTAGTCCCTCACATTCCCCAGAATGCTGAAACCAGGAGATCTCACAGATGTCAGCTGGGTTTTTGGGAGTTGTTTTGGCGATTTTTGTTTGGTTTTGAGAGAGGGTCTCAACAGCTCTATTAGTACGAATATCTGAAGACTTGTTTTTGTTTTAATCCATTAGCGCCAGCAGAGGCTTCAGAAAGAGCGTTTAATGAGCGACTTCTCTGCGGCCTTAAATAACTTCCAAGCAGTACAGAGGCGAGTTTCAGAAAAAGAGAAAGAGACAGTAGCAAGGGCGAGAGCTGGCTCCCGCATCTCCGTAAGTATTTATGGGAATCCTGCAGCGATTTGAATAACAAGTCTTCTGAGATCTTTTATTTGCCTACCAACTTTGCAGCTATCTACTGAACTGTTACTACCGAACTGTTATCTACTGGGTACAGATGGGGTCTTGGTACCTTAATGCTAACGTTGCTCATCCTGTGAGTACTGGACACTCATTTCTATGTGCTGTAAGTTAGTGTTACAGATGAGGGAATCCTGGTGGTTGCAAATTGTGGGTGGAGAGAGAGGGGGCATCAAACTACAGCTAATGGTTAAGCATCTTGAGCTGTTCTTGAGCAGATAACAGCCATAGGCTATAAAATTTAGGAGTCAGTTGGAATTTTACCATACTTAGAACTACAGATGAAGTCTCTCGCTGTTGCTGCTGCTGTTGTTTTGTTTTTTTTTTCTAATATTATTTTCTTACAGTTCTTGTCCTGCTAGTATCCCTAGTGTACATGCAGACTCTCTTCCTAGTCTGTTTTGACCAGTGACTACTAAGAATTCATAATAAAAAGGCCAATGACAACATTTCCCTCCCCTTGCTTTGGGGTTTGCATTAAGTACATATCCTCACTTCCAAAAAGGAATGCAATTATTGCTTGGATTATGCTTTTACAGATTATGCCTCATTTAAGAACTCAAATATTTTCTTGCAGTTGGAGAAGGGAAGTGACAATCAATGCCAACTGAGTAAACAGGCTAGCTCTTCTAGCTCGCAATTGTTGCTGGTTTGCAGAGATGTGTAAATTAAAAGCTGAAGTGACAGTGGCGTTCCCAAAGAACTCTCTGCACAGCATCCTCCTTGTCTTCAGGATGTTGCTGTTGCCTTTGCTAGTTATGCTAGTAATCTACAAGTTTAATAACAATTATTTTTCTCTTCCAGGCTGATGAGCGCTTCAGAGAAGAACAGCTGGTCTCGTTTGACAGGTAACATGTACTTGCACTCTGGATGTGCACATAAGCACTCTTACTATGTATAACTAAAATAACTGTGGCAAGATATGTTAGTGTAACCCAGGCCATGGCTTCATTAGCTAAATACAAAGCAAAAAAGTTTTGAAATGCAATTATTACA